CCGCGCAGGGTCTGTCCTGGCATCCGGACAAGCCAGCCGGGAGGCGCCCCAGCAGGTAGACCCGTCCTGTGTGCAGGGAGCTGCTTGGCAATTAACGCCAGTTCATCAGCTGGCGGCCGTGAGTGGTCTCGGGACCCTCTGGACCCTCCACCGCCAAGGGTGCTGCCGTGGGGTGCTGAGGGTCCCCACCCCGCAGGGGCCGAAGCCTGGAGGCTCCGCTTGTAACTGGTTTTGTAAGGAAAGGAGCGGGCCTCAATATGAGCCTCGAAACGCTTAACGACGGAGACGGATCGTAACCCACAGAATAGAATAAGTATCCCCACGTCACACGGGCAGGCATAGTCATCTATTCACAGCAGAATCCCGGTTGCCTACTGTACCAGTGACAGAAATAGAAAACCACCATGTGGCAAACAGCAGTGTAGTAATTGTCTCAGGTGAGAATGACCAACAGATGCTAAAACCAGAGGTGAGTGTGGTGAGAATGGGAGCGAGGAGGTGAGTCCACGCAAGGGCTTCTGTGGTGGGACACGGGGGCGGGGGTCACTGTGTCCCCGTGGACTCCACCGGGCAGGGACAGCACACACGACCTGAGGGTAGGCACAAGGAAACACCAGAGACAAAAGGCCAACCTCAGAAGCCCGCAGATCGGCAGGTTTGTGTGGTGAGGGCCTGTGACCGCTGGCCACCCTGTGTGGGCGGGAGACAAGGGCTGAGCGAGGCCCCTGGGGAGCGGCCGGGCTGGGACTCAAACCCGGCCGCACAGCCCCGCTTCCGGGCTCAACGCTGCATTGCACGGACTTTGGTGGCGGACCCCTGGTCTAGAGCCCGCCACCAGGACCACGGGGAGTGCCGGAGGCTGTGCTCGCCGCTCCCTGGACTCCTGTCTGCCTGTCTGTCTGTCTGTCGCTGTCCTGGTGGGTCAGAGGGGAATTCCGGCCCATCCTTCCCCCACTGCCGGCACCCCCAGACTGTACCTGGAGCCTCCGCCCTTGTCCCTACAGGGTTTCAGAGACACCCTCCATGCCGTGTTCTGCTTGGCTGAAAACTCGGTGGGACCCAGCGCCACGAGGCCGGACGACATTCACCTGCTGTACTCAGGAAAGTAAGGCCGACCCCGCCCGCCCACCTCACAGTGCCTGCCCCCCTCACGTTGTCTCTGTTGTTGGAACTCGTGGCCCTTCCCAAGACTCGGCTGGCAGCCCTGGCCACGCCCAGCTCACCCCGGCCAGGGCCAGACGCAGTGGGGAGGACGCCCTGTGTCAGGAGCCCCTGGGCAGCGCCGCTTGGTCCCAGGGTGGCCGCGAGCGTGGCCGTGTCGCTGCGCGAGGTGTCGGGCGCCCCGCAGGGGCTTGGGACCCACCCTGCCTTAGGGGGACAGGCCCTTGCCGACCTTTTGGCTTACTGTCCTTCGGGTGTCTGAAGCCTGCACCCCCAGACCCCCAGCTGGGGGGCCCTCCCTGCATCTCCTCCCTGAGATCAGCCCTTGGGCTACTCCTTCTCAGCTGCAGGAGGAGACACTCGAAAGTCACAGCAGGCAGCCTCTGGCGGAGCAGGTGGCCCAGGATTCAGAATAGCGGAGTCCGCTCGCCCGCCCAGCCCTCCCACGGGCACCTGTCCCCAGGGTGACCCCGAGAGGCGCTGCCTCCCCTCACTTACCCAGGCAACCCTGTTCTCCCATCTGACAGATGAGGAAACAGAGGCACGGGAGTGGGGGGGTGGGGCGGGCATCGCTCCGGACCCCCTTGCTCGTGGCCCTGGCGCTGCGTTTCTGTCGGGGACAGGAAGGAGGGGCTCTCAGTGGGGTCTCGGCTGCACCCTAGGACTGTGGAAATCAACAACACGGACGCCGAGGGCAGGCTGGTGCTGGCGGATGGCGTGTCCTACGCGTGCAAGGACCTGGGCGCTGACATCATCCTGGACATCGCCACGCTGACCGGAGCTCAGGTGGGGCCCTCAGCAGCGGCCCCCGAGGAGCCGGAGGCCACCTTGACTCTGAGAGGGGCGGGGTCTGCTGTCCCTTCATCTTCGTAAGGGGCCGGAGCTGGCCCATGGGGCTCCGTGGGGGTGCAGGCGCGCAGGGCCCGAGGACCACAGCGGGAACGTCAGGGCAGGACAGGGACCGTCCCCCAGGTGGCCGCGCTCAGGCCTCTCTCGCTGTCTTGCTGCCTCACTTTCTGTTGGTCCCTCTTCTGTCCTGGGTGTTCCCTGCCACCCCGACCTGGATACCCTCCCCGCCGGCTCTCTCCATCTCTCCCCACGTCCCCAGGGCATCGCCACGGGCAAGTACCACGCGGCAGTGCTCACCAACAGCGCCGAGTGGGAGGCGGCCTGCATGAAGGCCGGGCGGCAGTGCGGAGACCTGGTGCACCCGCTCGTCTACTGCCCGGAGCTGCACTTCAGCGAGTTCACCTCGGCCGTGGCAGACATGAAGAACTCAGTGGCGGTAGGTGTGGAGCAGGGCGGAGCGGGGTCAGAGCGACCCCGAGAAGCAGCAGCAGGGCAGGTCAGGGTACCCCCTACGAGGCCCCAGATCCGGGCTCTGCCTCCGGCGCCCCCTCGCCCGGCGTGAAGGCAGAGCCCGTAGCCACGGGCACGGCCCTTGGGGTCACTGTCTGCTGCTCCCCGCGCGCTCGCTGCGGACGGTGGGGTGGAGCGGGTGCCGAAGGGTCACGGCCGTCCTCCTGCCCCAGGACCGGGACAACGGCCCCAGCTCCTGCGCCGGCCTTTTCATCGCCTCGCACATCGGCTTCGACTGGCCCGGGGTCTGGGTCCACCTGGACATCGCTGCGCCCGTGCACGCCGTGAGTCCGGGCCCCGGGGGTGCCCCCGCCTCCCCCCGTTAGGACTCGCTTGGCCGGCCGGCCGCTCTGTTCCCCTCCCCGGCCCCTCCTCACCCTCTCTTGCGTCCAGAGCCCCTCTCTGGCTCCAAAGCTGCAGGCTGAGCTCATCGGAAACATTGTGTGTGAGGGTCACACGGCCAGCTGTGGTCCCCCTGACCTCTGGCCTCCTCATCCCTGGGAACAGCGTGGCTGCTCCGTGGAGTCCGTCCCAGCCGACCCGTCCTCGGCAGGAGGCCCAGGGCCCTCGGTCTCGCCCTTTCCCACCCCAGGGAGACGGGCTGGAGGCAGGGAGCCCAGGGCCGTGTCCACCAGCCCGTTGCCCACCGGCCCGGAGTGTAGTGGGACAGAGAAGGGGGCTGTGGGGCATGTTGGGGGGCAGACGCCCTGGTCCGGGAGCCAGGAGTCCCCACCCACACCCCGGCTGCGGTTTGCCGAGCGGCTGTGGCTCGGCCGCACGTGTTTCCACTGCCCTCGCCCACAGGGTGAGCGGGCCACGGGCTTCGGTGTGGCTCTCCTGCTGGCACTCTTCGGCCGGGCCTCTGAGGACCCTCTGCTGAACCTGGTGTCCCCGCTAGGCTGTGAGGTGGACGCCCAGGAGGAGGACGCGGAGAGGGACTCCAAGAAGCGCAGGCTCGTGTGACGCGGCTGCCCCGCCCGGCGGCGCTGGGCTCTTTACCTCACTTTGCACTGATTAATTGTAAGCAATTGGAAGATTATACCTTAAGATGAACTTTGGTTTGTTTTGTTTTTAGTTGTCGTGGTGACGGAAAGGGCTCCTTCTTGTAACGCTTAGGAGGCAGCTCAGGGTTTGGCGGGGGCCCCGGGGAGCGATGTGCGGGCAGCAGTGGGCTTGTTTCTGTTTGATTCGCCGCCAGCTTCTGCAGACCGCGCTCCCTGCTGGGGCCTCCGCACGACCCCGGGCCCCAGGATGCGTGCGCGGCCCTGACGCTCTGGGCTGCGCGGCCCTTGTGTCCACGGTGGGTGCCGTGGCCCAGTCTCCAGCCCGGGCCCTGCGTGTGGCACCCACATTACAGAGAGCCCAGGCCCGTGCTCCAGCCAGGGCTGCCGCTGCCTCCAGGCAGCCCTGCCCTTTGAAAGGATGGAGGTGACTTACTTCGGTGACCCAATTTTATGGAGCAAGAGGAAGCTCTACTCTGGCCCCTTAGAATTCACTGGGGGTGGAATTAAATATGGCTGAACCACATCACATCTTTGCCTCCGTCTCACTCTCTCTCCAGCCCGTTTTAGAAAGCAACCCTGACCCCTGCCCATGGGCCTGAGGCTCCGGGATGCCACCACCTTCTCCCAAACCAGCATCTGGCTTTGAGATGCAGCTTGTCAACCTCGTTTTTACAGATGAGCACCCTGGGGCCCTCGGGTCCAGGCCTGCACACAGCCTGGGCCATCTTGGATCTGAGGGTTCAGAGTGTAGACTCCTCGGGCTCTTAGGGCTTTCCCACGACCTGCAGTCTGCAGGGAAGGCTGTCCCGACCCCCCCCGAGCACATCACGAGACAAGTGTTGTACGGGTTCAAGTGCAGGTCCCCCCCGGGCATGTTCCTAGGTGCTGAAGGGCCCAGTCTGGCCAGGTTTCAGGGAGACCCCTGACCTGGGCCCAGCGGAGGAGATCGGGGACTCGGGCCCCACCCGGCATGGAGGCGGCTGCCCACGCCTCCTCTGCCGGGGACAGGAGGGCGAGAACGTGGCTGCAGGACACTTGTCCCCAGCTGTGCCCTGACAGTCAAGGTGACTCTTTCTGGGTTTGGTCCCAAGCACGTATTTAATGACTGCCTGCCGTGGGCACAGCCCCGACTGGGAAAACCATGGCCCACGTGTTAAGTCGCAGTAGTAGTGGTCAGAGGGCGCTCGGCGGGCCACGCTGTGAGCTCAGGGAGGCGCAGGGGCCGGAGGGGCCAGGAGCCTTCACGGGTCATTAGCGCGCTTAATGGTCTTGAAGTAGGCAGCTCGCTCCAGCTTCCCCCGAGAAGCCCTGGAGGAGCCAGAGATCACCGAGGTGGCCCAGCTCCTCCTCCAGGCAGCTGGCACTGTCCCCCCCCCTCCGCACCCCCCGCAGAGGCTGCAGGATGCAGGGTCAGGGAGCCGGGGAGGAACTGAGTCTCCCTTGTGCGGGCACAAAGGCGGCCTCAGGCCCGGGGACTCAGCTGGGGAGCAGCTGCAAGGGCTTGGCATCAGGGGGACCCAGGGCTGAGGCAAAGACCCTGCTTCTCGAGGCCAAAGGGCCTGAGGACGTGACGGCTGCTTCCCATGGCCCCTCTGGAGCCCCGGCAACAGGGTGTTTGGGGGCCGGCGGGCGCCGGTGCGTCCACTTGATCGTGGTCTTGGGCGAGTGGTACAGGAAGCTGAGCCTGGCCAGTAGCTTCTGCTCCAGCTGCAGCTCCAGCCCAGCTCGCGGACCGGGAAGACGGCAGCGCAGAGCCCGAGCACGCGGACCACGTCGGGCAGCTGGTCGTACATGATGGACCGGGCGATGCCGGGGAAGTGCTCGTGGATGAACTTGGCCGCGACCATCACCACCGACACGTAGAGCCTGACGAGGCTGGGTGGGGGCAGCCGTCAGCGCCGCTGTCCCGGGAGAGGAGTCACGGCCCCCGACTCAGCCCAGCTGTATAGGGGCACGAGTGCTAGCCGCTCACGGCCCCCGAGGCCTCCTGTGGGTGGGTCTGGGGTTCCAGCCCCCGCCTGGGGTTGGAGGGCGGGGTGACGGGCACCTGTGGAGCGACACACGTTATTACCCTGCAGACAGGAATGAGGGACAGGACGGTGGGAATGTCCCTTTCTGCTAGTGGCTTGTGTGACAGACAGTAAACCACCGTCTTGGTATGTTTCTGAGGCCAAGGGAACAGACAGGGGCTTGTGTCCCCCCCCCCCCCCCCCCTCCTGGGGCAGTTCTGGGGAGCAGGGTGAGGAGGGACCGGAAGGTTCTGAAGAGCCCAGGGCACGAGGCAGGTTCTTAGAGCCGGGGGAGCCTTACCCGTATCCTGCCAGGAAGTCCAGGCTCCGGGGGCTGACTTTGTCGTGAAAGATGAGCAGCTCCATGTCCTGGCCGCAGCCCCGGCTCTGGTCACAGCCTGGCCGCCACTCCTGAACACCCCGCCACTCAGCCGCCGGGCTGGCCGTGAGGGCCTCCGCCGGCCTCAGCTGCTGCAGCCGGACTGTGGCTTTGCGGAAGAAGGCCAGGCGGTCCACGTCCCAGGACCTGTGGGAGTGGGCTGTGCAGGAGACACAGCATCAGGCCCTGGGGACGTCTGCAGGCTCGGGAAGACCCAGTGTCACCCAAGGTGACCGGGTCAGGGAACTTGCCTCGGATGGGCCCGAGATGGACGTTCAGGGAAACGAAACCTCTAACGCTCTCCGGCTCTCCCCATATGCAATGCAGCCTCCACTCAGGCGCAGCCTGGCCCTGCACCCAAAATGCACCCCTTTTTCCTGCCTTGTTCAGGGGCCCCCCCACCTGGAGGCCCCTTCCCCAGCCGGCCCCTGGCAGTACCTCCCGATGGGCCGGTAGTTGTGGTCTCCCTGGAAGGCTCAACCTTGTCCCCTGGTGCACACTGATGCACCCCTAAGAGCTCTCGGGGCCCCCAGGAGCACATCCACGCGACCCCACCAGCCCCCTCCCCCAGTCCACGTTGGTTGGGTTGGCATCTGCTGCAGGACGCCCTGCCCAGAGCCTCTGTTCACACTGTTCCCTGGCAAATTGATGCTCAGCAGTTTGTTTATTTGTTTGTTCTTTAACAAAAGGTTGCTTTGGTTTGAGATTCAGCAAAAACACACGCCGCCTTCTGCTTCCTCTCCATTCGGGATTCAGTAAATTAGCTGTTCTCCAGTTGGCTTCGGGGCCTCGCCTCAAATGAGCCTCCAGCAAGATAATGCGTTTAAAAGCCCTTGGAAAAGTACCAGGCACACGCACGCACGTGAGAGACAGTGTCAACCCGCGAGCGGCTCGCTCAGCCCTGCACCCGAGCCAGGCGGGCTCATGGGGCCTTAGGCCCCCGGGTAGGGCCCGGGGGCGGGGGGCTGCCTTGTGCCATCCTGCCCCACCGACCCCCTGTCTGCCCCAGCAGCGTCATCTGAGGCCGGGGGCAGGGATGTGAGGGCGGGACGGGCCCTTATCAACTTCCAGCCGGTGGGCCTCTCTGTGGTCCTGTGAGCCTTGGGGATGAGTCCAGGGAGGATTCTTCAGTCAGGAAATCAAAGAGACAAGAATCCAGAGGCCCCGCTTCACAGTCACCTGCATTTAGCATAGTTCAAACACGAGGGGCCTCCGTTTGAAACCGTGAGTTCCTATTGGCTGCGTGAGAAACTCTGCGGGGCTCAGACCCCCTGCCCCCTCCCCGAGTCAGCTTAGAAAGTCTCCCCAACTCCGTGACCGTGGCCTCCCTTGAGATGCCTGACTGTCCCTTCCTTCTAATGGGTTGGCTGAGTTTCTGTGGCGTCCGCGAGCGTGTTTGGTCCAGCGTGGGGATGGCCTGAAGGCGGCTTCCTCGGCCAGCAATCTTTATTAAGCGCCACCTGTATGCACCCGTGAGACACGCACTCCTCTCGTGGGGTCCTTCCCAGCCTGCAGCCTGGGGGGGCCAGCTTCTAGCTGGGGAGCCAGAGCTGGCCTGTGGGAAGCTGGAGGTGGGCTGCCCCCAGCACCCAGGGGGCCCAAGCTGTAGGCGGCTCACAGGCCGGAAGTGGCCCTCAAGCCCACCTCAGACACTCGCTTTCTTGTACCAACCATGGAGATGTCATTAGCAACTAATAGAATAGCATCTTGTAAGCAATTTGCCTCGTTCAGGGCACATTATCTTATTCCTACCCCGGAGCACGGAAGCCAGTGTGTGTGTGCGCACGCGCGCGTGCGTGTGTCAGGCAGGCGGGAGATTCAAGCCCAGGGGGCCGGGCTCTTGCTGCATGATTTCCGCCTTCCGTCCAGAGCCCTCTGACCTTTGGCAGCCCTCGCGGTAGGCACCCGTCCATGGAAGAAGGAGGTGAGTCCACAGATGCTCAAGGCCGAGCCTGGCCAGACAGAAGCGGCCAGTTCACAGGGCCCGTCACTGGCCAAATGCCCCCGGAGCTGTGCGTGCGGCCCCGGGCTCTGAGCCTCAGTTTCCCCATCTGTCAAGTGGCCCTGGACCCTCTGGCTTCCTGTGATCTGAGAGGCCGGATGCTGAGTGTGCTGCTCACGGGCTCCGGGCTGGCAGAACTGGGTTCAAACCCCAGCCCTGCCTGTTTTGTGGCTTGAGAGCTGGAGCCGGTTAGCCAGTTACCTGTGTCCTAGGGACACCATGCGCCTGGGAAAGTGCTGCCTAAACAAGGAAAAGCCCGCACACTGCCGCCCCCGCCCGTGCCCGGCGCGCAGAGGGGACACTTACACGGGCTCGCTCCTGGCGAGGCTGAGCCTTTGGACCAGCTGCCCCGTGTCTCCGCGTCTGTGTAACACCCCGTGTGTTTGCCGGATGCTTCCACGGTCCTGACCAGAGACACATTCCTGAGGGTGGAGGGAAAGGAGACACGATGCTGAGAAACAAACCAGCCAGGGGCATGGGGCAGCTTCCCTCCCACCTGGCTGCCAGGGCTCCCTGCTAAGATGGGCTGAATGACCCTTGTGTTCACCTGGGGCCCCTCAGTCCCCGAAGCCGGAGGAAAGGGTGACAAAGGATCCTGCCACTGGGGAGTCTGGGGTCTTCACCAGGCAGCATCCCCCCTCTGCCCTCTGTGCGCCCTTCCTCCACCCGGGCCTCACTCAGCTCTGGAATTGCACCTGGGCCGGCGCACACGTCTCCCACCTGCCCCAGCGCACCTGAGCATCATTTAAGGCCTAAGAGGCCAGCGGGCATCAGGCTTGTGGTCCTTGTGCTCCCAGCACCCAGAGGCTACTGTGAAGTTGCCCAAGGCGGGCGCTCAGCACAGGAGGACGGTGGACACGGCCAGCCTGTCCCGGCCCCTCACCGGCCCCCAAGCCTCGGTTTCCCCGTCTGAAGGTGGGGAGGGAAGGGGTGCTCCAGGTGGAGGTACAGCAGGTCTCCGAAATCAGGGTTTCCTGGTGTTATGACAACAGGAGGTGCCCGGCCACCTTGCACGAGGAGAGTCGTCACGGCAGAGGGACCCCATTACACGTGGGAGCTGCCATCGTCTGCGCCCGAGCCAAGAAGACAGCACGGAAGGCAAGCGCCCTGCACTCCCTCCTGCCAGCTGTCCTGGGAACCTGGAGAAGGTGCCGCGTGCAGGGCGGGGGCCCTCCATGCCTCTCTCTCCTGTCAAGGGCTCTTTTGTGTGTGTAGGCAAGTCGTCAGCCAGGGTTGCAAGGGCCTGGCAAAGCACAGTCCCACCAGCCTGCTGGGGCCCCCCCGAGGAAGGCGCCGTTTCCTCCTGTGGATGGAAGACAAGGCAGCCCCATTTCCTCCCCAGCTCTGGCAAGGAAATGGGCTATAAATAAACAGCCCACAGACGACAGTTACAGCAGAGGGGACGGCCCGGCTCTAAGAGGGGGCCCTGGGGAGAGGGCTAGTTGGGGAAGTGCTATCTGAGCTGAGATTGCAAGGATGAGTGAGTATTAAATGATGCAGAAGATGGAAGAAATCATTTCCGGCAGAGGGAACCACGTGTGCAAAGGCCCTGTGGTGGGAAAGGCCGTGACAAGCTGGAGGAGCGGGAAGGAGGCCAGCGAGGCTAGAAGGGAGAGAGGGGTGTGGGGAAGAGGGTAGGGGGGAGTGTGACGGGCAGGCACAGCCTCGCGGGCCACGGGCTGGAGCGGAGTTTTTATTCGAAGAGCGAGGGGAGCCGTGGAGGTGTTTTGTGCCGGTGAGAGGCAGGTTGAATTGACACCTTCAAGAGAGCCCTCTGGCTGCAGGTCACCAGAAGCCTGCCCCCCGCCTCCCATGCGCAGAAGGGAACCCACGTCAACACGCAGTGTTGGCTGGGATCAACCGAGTTGCTGTGGAGGCCAGGTTTAAGGAGGGCCAGTGAGAGCCAGCATCCTAGGGGCTACGGTTCCCAGGTGTCTGGCCCTAAAAGCTGATCGCCACCTCTGCAGTCGTGGACGCCACCCGCAGGGCACGAGTGGGACAGGTATTGCGGCCCTGCCTGCACTGCCCCTGCCATTTCCCGGTCACATGACCTGCCCCAGTGCCCTACTCAGCTGCCCTTAAGCCGTCAGTTAAAAACGTCCACCTGGAGAGGGTCCCGACGGCGCCAGTGGCCGTGGAAGACCCATGGCGGGCAAGGCAACAATTTGAAGAAACTGGAGAGTGGCAACAGTAGAAAGTGGTTGGAGCCTTGGGGTGGCAGGAATTCCACCAGAAAGCCACAGTCTTACGGGTGGGTGTGTTAGAGAGGAGCTCTGGGCTGCCCAGCAGGCGACGGCCATGGTGATGCAGTTGCGGGGTTGGGGGAGGGGGTGTTCTGCCGGGAAAGAAGCAAAAAGCCAGTGTTTAACACCTCCCGAGGGCTGGGTCTGACCTCCATTTCCAGCCAGGTTGGAGGGGCGGAACTGGAGTTACCTCCTGCCTTAAGCAAGTGAGAAAACCAGACAAACGTATAGAATGCAATGCTTTTCAGACACTAGAAAACAGGCAGCATGAGAGGGTTATCCCAGAGAGAAAGGAAGCAAATGCGATGAGCTGCCTGCCCAGTTGCCCCAGCTGATGGCCCAGAGGCCTCTTGGCTGCATCACAGCCCGGAGGAACCCAATCAGAGCCCAGGGAGCCTCCTGAGCGACAGGGGGGACAGAGCTGAGGATTTGGGAAGGACCCAGGCAGCTGGAGTTGCAGGGTGGAGACCTGGAAAGCAGAGAGCTGCCCAGAGGGAGGGAAATCCAGAGCTGGGCAGAGGGTTCCCTGAGCCTCCAGCTGAGTCCTGCTGAGCCCATGGCTGGGGGGATGGGGTGCCAGTGGGAACAGAGCTGCACAGGCCTCGGTCCCAGGGCCAGGGGCTTGGGGAGGTCAGCAGAGCTGAGACCTGAGACACCACCACTCAAGTCCATGCTGACCTCTGAGTGGGACGCATGTGGGCATTTGAAACCAGCACCACCGGAGCCTGGCAGCTGAATGGACAGGAGCCAGTGCCCACAGAAGGTAGACGGAGCTTGCAGCGTGAACCCAGCTGCTAAAACAGAACCAGGAGGATGGGGGAGGGAAGGGGGAGGAGGAAATGGAAAAAGGAGAAGGAAACCCACATTCTCCAGGGCGTTTTTAACAGGATCCAGTCTTCTCA